TATTGTGAGGGAAAGTGAGTTCAAAGGCAGAAACGTAAGCATGAGAAACCACATTCCCCTGGAATAATTTTGTTCAAATACTTCTTGCACAACACGACGTTTAATTGGAAATAACAAACGAAATGATTCAAGTGACTAAATACATGCTGTGATGATAAGCTGGTAAAGAGTTGGAGGACTGATGGTGCAACACATCATTTTCCCTTGTTTTGGTGTACAGCTTTCTGTCTCTGTATATAGCGCATGAAGAAAGGTAATCAGTTTAACAGAGAAGCGTACACTAGATTTCTGATCCAAGAAGTGAGTTAAAAGGTCGATCAATTCGATCATCAATTAAATTATTCGTAAATTATTTTTGCCCTTGTTTTAGTTTTCCCCTAGCTTCTACGCTCATTGGTCTTATTATTTCCCGAAAAAACTAGTGCTCCAAGACAGTCCTTTATGGAAATCTTTTCTAGGCTGGATATGCTTTCTAGTTCGTTCCGTATTAAGTTGTCGGTTGTCAAAGTTCCGAGTTTCTTTGCCCTTAAAGACTGTAATTTTCACCTCTGCGAAGCGGTCGCGGTCATCCTTTACTGAGTCCCAACGGCTTATCTGTATTGTCTTTCACTCGCGGTATAGCAGAATTACTCAAACAAAACTAAGAATAATCTCTCAAGTAAAATTTAACCCATGCTTATCTCCCTAAACCAATGTGAGAAGTATTTTTTAGCGAGTTTTTGTACATTAAGTGGCGTTTTTATCTTTACTTAAATCACCCCTATTCTGTGGAACCTGTATTTAGCGGCCAAGCCGCCATTCCTCGTGGAAACGACCCATGAGACGTTAGCAAACTGACCTGAAACGTTGGCCAAACGACCTAAGACGTCAGCGAACCGCTCGTTAACAAAGTGACTCGTGGACGAAACTAGCGCATTTTAAGGGCACTTCCCCTGCAACTGCATAGTGTATATATGCAGAAGTAACAGAACAGGATGTATGTGATCAGCTGAACAATAATTTCGTTTCATAAAATAGGCTGAAATTGCAAATTGGCCCCCGTAAAGAGTTACAAAGCTGACATTTCGAGCGTTAGCCCTTCGTCAGAGCGAATGGAACAACAAACTGACGAAGTGAAGGTGTAGTCTGATCGTCCGGGTGAGTGTAGTCCTGAGAAGGACTGTTGTCGGTGGTAGTGACTGACGTTTCGACAACCTGTGCGGAAGTCATCATCAGAGTCAAGTGAATGATTGTTGTCAGTAGAATGTTCTTATTCCAGTTCGTGTGAAATGATCGGTTGGTTTTGCCGTGATGTTATTGGCTGTAAGACTCAAGTGACGTAAGTCGGTCGTGATTGGTCTGTTTCGATCTGTCGGTAAAGTTAGGTCGTTCTTTTTCGGTCGTTTGTGATGTTTATGTCGTGAATGAGTCGTTTGTATGGAGCGGGTAGTTGTTGACATCTGTTTAGGGGAGTCTGTTCTAAGTTAGTAAACCAGCTTTCCAGAGTCAGTCGTTGAAAATAGTCAGTGCTGTAGGTTAGGCATTGCGCAGAGTCCCAGTCAATGTTGTGGTTGGTAAGTCGATGGTGTTCAGCAATGTGATTGCTGACATCACCTTTCCTCGTCGCCCGTCTGTGTTCAGTCAGTCTTGTTGTGAGGTTTCTGCCAGTCTCACCGATGTAGGAGGCTTGGCAGTCGGAACAATTGATCTTATAAATCGTTCCCTGTCTGTTCCTCGGTTCGTCTTTGTCTTTAACGTTGGTTAGTAACTGACGTAGTGTGGTGATGGGTTTGTGGGCGACGCGGATATTGAAGGGTAGTAAGATGCGCGAGATGTTTTCAGACATGCCTTTTATGTACGGTATGGTTGCTGTAGTCGTAGGGGTTGCGGTGTCGTTTGTTTCGGTAGTGGTAGTGGGTCGGTGAGTGTTTCGTCGGATGAAGTCGTTGTTGTAGTTGTTCTTCGTAAAAACACGGTGAAGGTATTTGTTCTCGTCGGATAAGCTGTCTGTCGAGTC